ATACTCCCTGGGGAGCAATATGAGAGTGGTACCGTTATTGTTTTTATTCTTTTTGCGCATGAGTTAGCGCTCAAGTATAAACTAATCGAGGGGCTTACGGTGCCAGGTCTCGATCTCCTGCTATACCTGTTGTCGCCTGGTAGGCGATAACCTCCGAACCTTGTCAGCATATGGTGGTCCTCGCGTCAGGATGAACTTTCATCTGATGCCTGAGTTCCCAGTATGGTATGGACCTCGTGATATTAGTAAACTCTCATACAATTTTGTGGAATTGAGAGTCTTAGCTGAATGTTGTTACCGAAAATGTTTTGACTGTGGAAATGAACCCGATTGATAAGAGCTTGGTGGTAGTGTCTATCGGTCGCTTTTGCCGTATACCTGGAGGCAAGTTGAAATTGTTCAAAAAGTGACTTCCGACTGTAAGTTATGCGATATTAAATTTTGTAAGTAAATAGTCGCCTTAAGTTGAGGTGTCATCATCAAAAAATAATAATTAAATGTAAAAGTCAAATTAACAATGTTTATTATATACTACAAATCAAACGGTCATGGATACGGATACCATTAAATGCCAATTGTCATCTGTGAGTTTAAATCAATAAAAAGCTCTAGTTCTCGTTCATGCCGTCACGCGTAGCGTGGCTTATGTTTAATAAAGGCCCGACATCGCGAGACGCTGACTTATTCCCACAGTCAGAATTGGCAACAACTTTAAGTGGTAATCGCTACAATACTCGGGGTGACAGAGATCACGAGGATCGGCACTCTTATGCACAATACTAGGATGTGGAAGACAACAGGATACCACATTATGATATCCCGAGTACAACTTACTTTTATAACTCTAAAAGATAAACGAGGCGTCCTCTGGGTAAAATACTCCGGATGTAAAGTAGTTTCCCATTCGGATTTTTGAGCGGGAACCACCTCGGGGGATGTATCAAAAAGTGAAATAAGGAATGTTGCAACTTATATCTTACGAGTCGGAGCATAGAACGTTAAAACATTGAGGCAAGTTAAATATTTTAAAAGTTGATATAGTCTAAAATTAGGTACAAATGTATAAATGAAGTCTGTTGGCAAGAAATCAGAAGCTTCCGAAGTGGAGTGGAATAATATATACCATAGTTATGATTAAATTAAATTCGAAACTGGTAAAAACGATAATAGTGCAGGTCTATATGCCTAAGTCATCTTACAATAATGAAAACGAAGAAGCGGTATACGCAGATACAGAAGACGTGTTTAGTTAAAGGACAGAAAACCTAAAAAAAATAGTTGTAAGAAGTTGTAACAAGTTCTTTTGGATTAGGAAATAGAAATTATAGGGAAGATAGACTAAGTTAACTGTAGGGAATGCTTGATTTGGTCATCACATTAGCAGGTGTTATATGTGGGTGACGCCAAGTGATTTAGGGAAGGACTGTAGGAGTTATCCAGGAGCAAATATTAATAGCGATCGTAACGTAATAGTTAAAAAAAACCATCTTAAATTCAAAATTATGAAGAAGAGGAAAGGTAGGAAACTAAAACAAACAAACAACTAAAATGTACCGAAACGCGTGTCAGGGTAGGTACAAGGACAGATGAAATACTAAAGGAGGCGGGAAAAACGAATGACAGTGATGAAGAGACAGAATGGAACTAAATTAAAACGTACCTAAATTCCACACCTAGATACTCATATATACGAGACAGATAAAGTCCCTAAAGACTATAAAGGGAAGTAGTCATAATTAAAAGACAGGTGCGGGTAAATGCGGGAAATACGGAACAATAAAACTTCCCATGCTACAAAAATCTTAATTAGAATCGTACAGGGAACAATGGAAAAAGGGCAGAACAACTACCATGATGGAAGAACTAATTTGAGAAGAAGAAATAGTGGAACGCGGGGGGCCATTTCAGCTGTATGGCTAATAATAGAGAAAATAATAAAAAAAAGAAAGAGGGTCAATATAGAATTCGTGGATTTAGAAAAAGCATTTGAGAATGTTAAAAGGGACAAGATGTTAAATATACGTAAAAATATAGGAATGAGATACGGAGATAGAAGAGTGATATATAGTTTGTATAAAGAGTAACGGGCAGTTATAGAACTTGAGGAGCAACGTAGATAAGTAAATATTAGGGATACAGGCACCAATCCACACTTTCACCGCTATTTTTTTATCTATTTATTGAAAATACGATAAACATCATTAAAGACAGGACAACATTAGGGATAAACATATAGGGGCAAAAAAATTAGGTAATATGCTTAGATTTACAGATGATACCTATAGTAGTACTATCCTCTAAAAGAGAGGAGTTATAGATAGCCTTACATAAAATGGAAGCGGTAGGTACTGACAAAACAGTATTGTATAAAAAAAAAGTAAAATAAAAATACTGATAGGAGTACAGAGACTAAACTAAGGATAGTATAGGGTCGAGTCGCCTTTAACAAAAAGAACTCACTTCTATGCTCACTAACGGTTAATTCAGAAATTGGAAAAAGATTGCTAAAGGTGTATGTCTGGAGTTGGCCTTGTTCGGGTGCGAAACGTGGACGGTGGGCGAAGCTGTAATGAAACGGTTAGAAGCGCTCGAAATGTATTACATGCGAATGATGAGGATATCACGGATAGTAAAGGTTAGAAATGAGGAGGCATTCTAAAGCTTTATAAAGCGTAGGAGAACAGAGGGCGCTATGGAAGTCAATAACAAATGGGCGAGATAGATTGGTAGGAGCTCAGAGTAGTAAATAATGGTGTATTGATTGGAGATACGTTTCCATCCAGTCTTAGGATGATTGTATGAGCCGATGAACTAATGTATTGGGTTTGAGCAGGCTAAATAAACCCTTGTAACAGGCACTAATCCAAATTTCCAAACATGCGCAAAGTTTTAATCTATGCGCAAAGTTATGTCAAAACTCAAAAATGCTAAATTTAAGAAAATAATTTAATTAACAGTGGTGTGTGGTTTTATTTAAAACACCGGTACTGTTTAATTGCATGGAAAATGGGTGATATGCTTAAAGAACTTCGAGAGAGATCTAAAAAAAGAAAACAACTGCTTGCACAAACGGTGAGGAAGAAAAAGCCGCTTCGGCTTTTATAATTAAAATTATCAGATTTTTCTATAACCAGTTAGGAGTTTCGGGAGTAGAAGAATTAAGACAAGTTCTTGGAACATCTACAGAAGTTCCTAAAAGGAAGAAAGAAAAAGGGGACGATTCAGGTGAAAAAAATGAAGGGAAAGCTGGCAACACAGATGAACTCATTTATAGAGATTCATCAACATTTTTGAAGGTATGAAGTGTTTTAATATCTCATCAAGAAACTAATTTGTTTTAGTTTCATATTTATTTATTTGCAGGGTACTCAGTCTTCAAATCCTCACAATGATTATTGTCAACATTTTGTTGATACTGGTCAGAGGCCTCAGAATTTTATTAGAGATGTTGGTCTGGCTGATCGATTTGAAGAGTATCCAAAATTAAGAGAACTTATTAAGCTAAAAGATGAACTTATTTCTAAAACAGCAACACCACCTATGTATCTTAAGTGTGATCTCACTAATTATGATCTTAAGAATCTAAACAGTAAATTTGATGTAATTTTAATTGAACCACCATTAGAAGAATATCAACGTACTATGGGCGTTACAAACATTCAATTCTGGACATGGGATCAAATTATGAATTTAGATGTTGGAGAAGTTGCTGCACAAAGAAGTTTTGTATTTTTATGGTGTGGTAGCTCTGAAGGGCTTGATATGGGAAGAATTTGTTTAAGAAAATGGGGATTTAGAAGGTATTTATAATATTAGTAACTTAGTATCTAGTAATGTACTAATTAACAATAAAATTGCAGATGTGAAGATATTTGTTGGATTCGCACAAACATAAAAAATCCTGGTCACTCAAAAAATTTAGATCCCAGGGCTGTATTTCAACGCACTAAAGAACACTGTCTAATGGGAATTAAAGGAACTGTAAGACGTTCAACCGATGGTGATTTTATTCATGCAAATGTTGATATAGATCTAATAATCTCTGAAGAACCAGAATATGGAAGTTTGGAAAAACCGGTTGAAATTTTTCATATTATAGAACATTTTTGTTTGGGCAGGCGTAGATTGCATATTTTTGGTAGAGATAGTACCATCCGACCTGGTTGGCTTACTATAGGGCCTGAACTCACAAATAGTAATTTTAATGCTGAAACATACAGCAGTTATTTCAATGCCAGTAATATTACCACAGGTTGTACAGATAGGATTGAAGCTCTTCGTCCCAAAAGCCCTCCACCTAAGGGAAAAGGTAGCTCAGGTAACAGAGGAAGAGGATCCTTTAATAGAGGAAGGGCTAGAGGAAGATAAGAAAAATTGATCAGTTCACACCTTATCAGTGGACTACACTGTATACTTTATTTTCCATAATAATGAAAACATTTAACCCATTGTTTATTTTAAATTCGACTAATGCAATGTAATAACAAATAATTCTGTTTTACATAATTCATTGTTTAAGTATTCATCAGCCATCTATCGGAGAATAGCCAAACTATACTAAGGAAGTTCCCTAAGTTATGATTTTAAGGATTAAATTTTACTTTAGTTAAAATCTCATTAACCAGTCAGTTCCATCAAGTAATTTATTCTATTATATTTATCTTCAACTAATATTAAACCCAAACAGGTAGTTTTTTTGTACTTATGTACACCATAACTGTTACAACAATCTACTAAATGGTCTTGCAGAATTCTATCTTATTTGCAGAAATTATTTTAAAGGAAATTCTAATATTTGAGTGTTCGTGAATAGTTCTATTTATTTATACATCAGAGAAATACATACTGTTGTAGATGCCGTTATAAATCTCTAATCTAAGTATTTGTTCATAAAAAGTAACCACTAATTCTATTTTATAAATCGTTTAGTTTTGTGATATTTATAAGTACCAATAAAGCTTTCAACATTACATAAAATATACAGATAGAATGAAATAGTTATTAATAGTCTTATCAAAAGCACTTTGCAAGTATTACAGATTAGTAAAAATAAACGACATGTTAATCGACCTTGGTTTCTGAGGCACCATTAAATGACTACAAAAGCGTCCTCTACACACTTATGTTGGTACTAGCAGTAGTCATTTGCACGGTTCGGTTTGGAAAGTATGTGTGGTGCTCGGTAAAACAAAGACGATCAACGATATGATTAGCTTTCGTTTTACTTTCGAATATTTACGTTAATTTGATCGAATTGGTAGTAAAACGTAAGCATGAGAAACCTAGCCAACCAAAAACTTATTGTGATTAGCACTGGCTGACAACAATGAACATACCGAACCTCGTAGTTCTTTAATGTACCTGTAACAACTCGTGTAATACGTCTTTTAAGAACCAAACGGTCAAAATCAGTTTTGGGTACACTACCGGTGCCGATTGCAGTGAATCCGTGATAATTAATTGTGATTAGTGGTGTAAAGTGTAACCAAAATTTTATATCGTCAATGTGCTATTTCCACCAAACCTTTCGGACATCATACCCAACCTGCAAACTTGTTAACGTGGAAATTTGGTTTTTTAATACTTTTGTGGAGTACGGTCAATTTTATGGGTCTGTGTCACAGTTGCCGAAAGAATAAGGTTCCATTTCGAGGTAAATTTGCATTATAATTTCAAGTGATGCTTATAAGAGCACATTTAAAATTAAAGAGACCGTTTAGGATTTTTCACCCCTTTCATTGTATTCCCAGAATTTGATCAAAACTTCTGGTAAATGCAGGCCACACTATCTGCATAGCAATAGTTATCTTAGGGAGATAAGAACACAAAAGGCTCGACCTAGTCGTAGACTATTTGCAAATGATATCTTCGAGTAAGTACATTTACGATAAGCGATTTGCCAACTCGAAAGCGCATTTCGTTTTGATAACCCGGCTAGTCTTCTCGTCTGCTGTGAAAGCTTGTTCGGTTAAAATTACCAGATAAGACTCGATTATTAATAAAATAACTATAAATAATCAGCACAATGTGGATTCTTGAAAATTTTCAGTGGCTTTCTGGTAAGTCTTAAACGACATTTTATTAAAATAATTTAATACGATACTGTAGTGCCTATAAATTGGCATTCTTTCTTTCTATCATTTAGATAGAAGAGATTTAGAAACGCAGGGTTGTTATAGCCGCTATATCGTAAATCTAGGAAATTGAGGTTATGCCACTAAATGTATACCAATTTTTGACAAAACTTTTTTAAATTATATTCCCAACGTTTTTGTTTCCAAAATGATTCACTGTTATATTAGGTAGGTAGGTACTACCCACTATTAAATATTAAAATATAAAATCGCTTATTCTCTTTATTATTTGTTAAAAAGATGGAATCGTTTATAGAACAAACAGTTTGTTCTACAACAACCGCCAAAGTTTTTCCAATCTTCATATTTGGAATCGTTTATATACAAAATAAGTATATTAAAAATGAGTACCTAGATGTCTGTTTACACATTAATTATATAGTTTCTTGCTTCTTAAATATTTTATAGGTTTATTAGTTTACCTATTGCACAAGAAAAGTGAGCTAATAAGTAGGTGGTTACCCTTTTTTTTGCTTTTCTAATTAGTATTCCTTTATAACTAGATAAGTCCTTCCTACAATAAATTTAAGTGATGGTTAAGTGCTTAGTTTTTTTTGTTCTAAAAAGATCTCATTTTTATGACTACATTTACAACTTAAGTATTAGGTATTGTAGGTCGATGTATACCTAGGTACCGTCAATATAAGTTAGGGAAGAATACTTGACCAGTAATATGAGGTCGTGAAAGCAATTTATTTCCTAATTTTTACCCTTGTCGGTGATATATTAGGGTTTGCGGTTTATTGACTATTCACGTAACGTATAATAACCTTGGATAATTGGTTGAAGGCCATGCATACAGCAGACGCATGTATGGAAGCATATGGTCTATACGTACACTGTAAACCTAGATTGTGTAGGTAGGTAGGTTTCATTTGATGATGATATGTAGGCACTTTAATTAAAACAAGGTATCCATCTTAAATTCCTCACGTATTGTGAAAAATTAGGTAGACACCTTTCTAGATATCGAAAATCAGCAACTCCTAGTTTTTCGTCTTTTATCTTTAATATTCACTCTTTTCTTACTTTTTCTTCCCTTGCAGACCAATATTTTTGTTTTACTTTATTAAGTTTTATACCATACTGTTTTGTTAATACTGCTTCCATTTTATGTAAGACTATCTCTTGCTTCTTACCAGATACGAAGATTGCTATAGGTATCTGTAAATCTGAGCATAGTAATCTTTTGCTCCTGTATATGTATTCCTAAGGTGGCCTTGTCTTTAATGATATTTATCACGTCTTCGATACACATATACCTACTGTAGAGTAAGAAGTAGCGGTGACAGTGTACATCCCTGTCTGACTTCCTTCCTGATATTTACTTATCTACGTTGCTGCTTAAGTTCTATAACTGTCTGTTGCTCTTTTTACAAACTGTATGTATATTACTCTTCTATCTCTATCTCATTTCGATATTTTTAAGTGTATTTAACATCTTGTCCCATTTAGCATTCTAAAGAGCTTTCTCTGAATCTATGAATTCTATATACGTTCTCTTGTTACCCGTAAAGCTAGAATGACCTCCCGCGTTCCTCTATTTCTTCTAAACCCAAATTGGTCTTCCCCTAATAGTTCTTTCGCTCTTTTTTCTGCCCTTCTCTGAACGATAGTTAAGGTTTTTGACACATAAGAAGTTGAATCAACTGTTCCAAATTTTTCGCATCCGCGCCTCTCTTTTTTGATATGACTACTACCAATTTCCCTTTATAGTCCTCCGGGACTTTCTCCGTCTCGTGTATATGTGACTAACTAACCTAAATATACGATAAATAACTTCTTGTCCTGTGTGTAAGATTTCCATCTGTATCCCATCTGTACCTGGTGTCTTATTATTCTTTAAAATTTTTAATGACACATTCTTTTCTTATTATGGGGTATCCTAGCACCTAGCTCACTTATTTCCACACTATCTTCCTTCACTAAAACAGCTCCTAACTCTTGACCTGCGTATAGATTTTCTCAATACTTTCCACCTATCTGCCTTTTCCTCATTTTCTGTTATAATGACTCCTGTTTAAAATTCCTTTTAATTATATTATAAGCCTCGTTGGTTTAACATGTTTGAAACTTTTCGTCTATTTCTTCGTCTATTCTGCTCTTGTATGTCCGCATTTCTTCTATTAATCCTACAATCTCGTTAGTTATCCAAGGTTTTCTACTTTCGTTTTGTTTAAGACCTAATATATCTCTAGCTGCAGAATCTAGACACGTTTTAGTGCAGTTCCATTCTGTCTCTACGCCCCTGTTATTCGTTTCTTGCCCTTAGTATTTCGTCTGTCCTTCTATCTACCCTATCACGTGTTTCAAAGTTAAGACGTTTTCTAAGCTTACCTCTTCTTCATAATTTTGAACATAAGATTGGCCTTCATCACCATTAGGTTCTGATCGCTATCTATATCTGCTTCCGGATAACTCCAATAGTTCTTCACATGATTTTTAAATCTTTGCTTACCACGTGTAGCACCTCCTAACGTGATGGTCATATAATGTATTCGCGACGGTTAAGTTGAAATTTCCTGCAACTATTAGGGTTTCCTGCCCTTTCACTAAGCTGAACACGTCTTTTATGTTTGCATGTACATACCTCTTCTACGGCTTCGTCATTGTAATGTGACGTAGGCATATAGACCTGCTCTATTACCCTTTACCGAATTACGTTCCATCTAGTGTCTATTCCAGAAGTCTCCGACATCCGGACAACAGACTTTACTATGCCTCTATATGTAATTCTAGTCTAGCCCATTTTAACTTTTAGAAATTTTCTTCTCCGCTTGCTTCATTTGTTATACTCGGGTTATCATAATTTGGTGGTTCCCCGTTGCCTTTTATTTGGTTGCGTTGTGTATCAGAGTGCCATACCGATCCTCGTAATTTCTGTCACCCTGAGTACCTAAAGAGCTGCTACCCTCTTTCAGGGACGTGTCTTAATCTGGTTTCTGATTAAAAGCCAGCCTCTCCCCCCATTATGGTTGAAGCTGTGGTCTATGTCCCTCAATCATCGAAACGTGCAAGCCTATCCACCAAGGTCAAGGTTCAAATCCTGTCGAATCGGTTGAATTAAAATTGAATTTGAAAAGTGTTTGAAAAATTGTAACTGCTTTAATGAATGCTGAATCATTCAATCTAAGCGATTTGTTTTTATAACATGTAGTACATTTCAAATATGTCTGACCATTCTATACATTCTAATATTAACATTGCTCAATAACTTTTAAGCTAAACTACCAAATTTACGTACCCCTAGCGGCTATCCTAGGTGTATATCTTTAAATTTATTTAGACGAAACTGACCTTACTTTAATGAATTTACTCCCAACCATAATTGCTTATAGTGTCTTACTTTTTGTTGGATATTATGTATGAGTAGATGTAAAAGCAGTACTTCTATGAGTTCTGTTCGTATGTATAATTATACAATACATTATTGAACATTAATAGACAAAGGGTTATAAGTTCACCGACTCACACCTTTCTTATTATTAGTCATTAGTCATTGACTCAAGTTAATCGAATTACGATATTTTATGATAACTGAATTACATTTTTTTATGTTTATAAATAACTGTATCCCTATTATCAAAACTTAATTATTCCACTCAAGTTTTTATTATCAGGTTTTTATGTTTTATTCTTATACATACTTACGTACTCACATATTTTTAATTTTATCATTTTAAAATTGAGATCCTAAACTAAAGATAAATAGCTGTTCGATTGATTATTAAAATAGGTACCTGATATGACGCAGTACACCAATAAAATATGCTATAATTTATAATACGAGCAATTCTTATGCATATACGAGGGTGGATTGATAAGTTTCCGGCCTAACCAAGAGATGACGCCACTAGGCCTACCTTGAGGTGACATTCTATAGTACCATCCTTGGATAGCTTGTAGCTATAGTTTCAGCCCGATCTCCTTGCTAGTGTAGGTTTGACAGCACGCTGAACAAGACGCCTCTGTGGTTTTCGTAAAAATGGAAAAGCAGGAAAATCGTGCTGTCATCAAATACTTTTATTTGAAAGGGTTAACGCCGAAGGAAATTAAAAAAGAGATGGACTCAACACTGGGGACATCCTCCCCGTCATATTCAACCGTTAAGCAGTGGGTTTCCGAGTTTAAAAAGGGTCGTGTGAGCACCTCTGATGGGCCTCGCTCAGGACGCCCCGTTGAGGTCACAACTCCAGATATGATCGAAAAAATTCATCAAATAGTGCTGGGAGACCGCAGATTGAAAGTGCGTGAGATAGCTGAGACCTGTAAGATGTCATATGAACGTGTGCAACATATTTTGCACCAACATTTGCATATGGAAAAGCTCTGTGCAAGATGGGTGCCGCGTTTGCTAACAGTCGACCAAAAATTGATTCGAAAAAACATTTCTACCGCAAATTTGTCATTGTATAAGCGTAATCCAAGCGAATTTTTGCGTCGATTCGTAACCGTTGACGAAACGTGGGTCCACCACTACACTCCTGAAACCAAAGAACAGTCTAAACAGTGGATTGGA